AATAAATAATAATGCCCATGTTATGTGTTATGAGAGCTAGGGGTATAGTTGGCATGCCAAGAGTCGAGCGTTCTACGTGGTCCTTCGGGACATATATATAATTCTTTGGAACATATATGCCGGTACTTCGGTACACTTATTTGATCTATTGGAATATGTAGTGGTCCTTAAGAAGTGGACCTTCGGGACATATGTGTTATATGTGGTCCTTCGGGACATCTATGTGGTCCTTCGGGATTAATCCTATGTGCCACTAGTGGGAATTATACGAGCTATGGTGACAGTATATGTGCACTACCTCTATGTACTCACATATCTTTAGTTCTCAAAAGTATACATGGGCTTTAAAGAGAATAAATAAATCAACTTGGTATGATGCTATGTGTGCTCTTTTGTGAAATGATATAAATGTTTTATGCTGTGTATAGAAATGTTAAGTACATGCTCATATGATAAAAAGGAATTAGTGATAATTATAAGTAATGATAAGCATGTTAATGATGATCTATGTGTGTATATAAGCATTGTGTTACATGATACGTACATGTGATTGTTAAGTAGTTATAGTTATATTAATTGTTTACATGTCTTATTAAGTCTATGACTTAGCGTGTGAGTGTTTCACACATAGGATCTGAGACGTTCTAAAGAGAAGATAAGCAGCGGAGACAACATAACTTCAGCAAAGATCAGATTAGAAAAATTTACAATAGGTTTCCCTTTTGTATTATGTAGTGTTGGCATGTATTTAAAAAAGTAAATTGTATAAGCTCTGAACATTTTGTAAATGTTTTTGAGTTAATATATGTAAAAAATTTAGTATGTTTAAATTTTTCCTCTATTTTAAATAAGTACATGATTTGAAAGGGTAATGTGATATTTCGGACTCGTATTCGGGTCGAATATGGATTAGGGGTGTTACAAGGTGTGCGACCCAGATCGATTCAGATTAGTCAATGTGAAGCTTTGGAAGAAGACAACCAAAGAAAAAAGAAAAAATATAATTATACCTAAAATTTTGAAAGAGAAAAAAAATCTAATTTGAATCTGGTCAAATGGACCAATTGACCAATAGACGGTTCTAATACAGAACACAGAGACAAATTTCATCGCATAAGACGCGAGGTAATCACCGTACATGGTTAGGTTAACGCATCTATCAATAAAACCAAATTTAAATGTGACAAATCTAAACGACAAAAAAAATGTTAGACGCCATTAAATATAGTGAAGTTAATTTAACACGACTTATATTTGTCTGTGTAAAATCATCAAATTCTCACTAAGCTTAACAATGAGTTAGCTTGACTTATATTTGTGCATGTAAAACCAAATTATGTTGCAATTGAAAACCGCTAGCCATCATTTTAAAATACAATAGCTTATAAAACTATACTCTTATGGTTGAACTCTCCGACATATAATTTGGATAGTCTAGGGTAATTAAAAAGTATTATCAGTGCTTTTTGAAACATTCGACGCCTGCCTGTCTCACGATGTTAAGGCTTGCAAAATGCCCTCATCTTAATTGTTGAAGTTAAGAAACTTAGAAATTAGGGTCACTTTTTTAATTAAATACATTGCTCTCACAACTTTGTTTTGAACGGTGGTTGGCTGAGTGTATTCCTATAGAAATCCCCGTAAGCGAGAACGACCCACTGCCAATAAACATATAAAAACAGCAAGAATCGCAGGGCACCACCAATCATCACCCCTTTCCCATTATCGGTCTTCCAAGCTGGCGTGCTGAGGTTTCTAAACGCAAAATTATGCATAAAATCCTACTTGCTTGGTCGTTTAAGGCGGTGGCTGCGCCTCGCATGTTTTTATATTATATAGATTCAAAACAAAACTAGTTTAATTTTACCCGATGGGACATTTCAGCCCTGTATTCTTTTTTAAATGAAGGTAGATTTTGCAGGTAACTAAGATACATAATGTATTCTATGCTGAGCAGTTGTTTTTAGGTCAGACCAATTGTGCTTTTTTGAAACCTAATAATTAGAAACTGACCATCAGTTAATTAATTTATGTAGCACCAAAACGAAGAAGTCGCTAAAGCTACTTCAACAATATTTCTTGGGCGGGCGAGCAAATGAATGGATTATATTAGTTTAAGCAACTACTCACTTTAAAAAAAATGAGCCAGGCAGATTTTGTTTGCAAGGTTTGACCTCTCAGAAAATGCAGTGGGAAAGCAAGAAAACGTGCGTTCTACGAGAAAGCTCACTGAAGAAGACTCTTATCCCTTTCCTTATCCTAATTAACTGGGAAAATAAGCTACTCCCTCCCTCTATTCTTGTCTTATATTACCACCATACTAAAATGGAGGGACCAAGTTAACATATATATATAGCCACCCGCGATTGACTTGGTTCTCTCCATAATAAAGTATAAACCACGATAATTGAAATATATGCTTTAAAATTAGTTACTAAAACTTTGATTTAATAATAATATTAAGATTAACCCAGAAAGTTTTAATTTTTTTTTATCATTTAATGTGATTATAAGATAGTATTTGTTTATGAATTTTTGATATTAATAATACACATACACCAACAAACGTATAGGGATGGCAAAAAAATTCGAACACGACGGGGAAAACCGAAAACCGAATTAAACGGGGACGGGAAAAACTGTTTATGCTAAACGGGGACGGGTACAGGTTTAGTAATCTCCGCCCCGATTACCCAATTACCCGCCCCGATAAATATTAAAAATAATTATTATTATATATATATATATATATATATATATATATATATATATATATAAATTAATAAATTAAATTATAATTATATATATATATATATTTATATTTAATTTAAATATATATACCCGGCCCGATACCCATTTAAATAACCGTTTATGCTAAATGGGGATACCCGTTTCCCCGCGGTTTTCTCCGATTACCCGATAAAAATCCCCGTTTAAATTCCCGAGGTTTTTTAAGCGGGAACGGGTACGAGTTTTTTAAACGGGGACGGGGGACCAATACCCGGCCCGAACCCGGCCCGTTGCCATCCCTACAAACGTAGGTACTTGATACATAAATCAAATGCGTAGGTAAATCCTAAAAGTTATTCACTTGCCTACAGAGACCGAACTGTGTATTATTAAAAATTATATAAAATTACTAGTAGTAGTAATTAGGATATTTACTTATCTAGGGCCCCAATTTCAATTAATTTAGAATTTACCCTCAATTGTTGTTTCTAATTATAATTTACACTCAATGCATCAAAGTTGAAGATTGTGAGCTTACAAATTCGATTAATTATCATATTTATGACTTTACCAAATGGAGGTACTTACTATTTATTTCTTGTAGCTAACATCATTCTCACCTTCTCGTCATGCCTTTACACGTTGTTTTTATTTCTTGTAGCTAACATCATTCTCACCCTCTCATCATGCATTTATTCATCTAATAACTATACCCAACTTCAGAATTTAATTTTTAAATTTATGTTAATAAATTAATTATAAAAAAACAAAATTAATAAATTTGTTACTACAATAAAAATATTGTACATCATTCTATAAGATTCAACGGATTGTGAACATGACCATTTCAAAATATTTTGAGATTCGAACATTAAACAATTTTGTGTTAAGTTTGTTGCAACAAATATTATAGAACCCCTTTGCTCTAAGCTGGCAATATCCTTTTATAATATTTCCTATACATGTTTCAGTTGTACTCTTCATTTAGACATTCCAACATTGGTTATGTACAATCATCAATCTAATCCATTTGTACGGATTTGATTCCCCACAATTTTTTTTGGGTTTTTTTTTTATTTCAAATTGATTAGAGGATGCCTTATGTTACATTCTAATTGATTGTGATTAATATAATAAAAATAATGATTTATAATTAATTTTATAATATATCTTTTACTAAATTAATATGTTGTCACATTATCAATTATTCACAGGCATACATGTTATGTCAGAATCAAAAGTCATATAGATTTGTTTAATCAGTAAAATATGTTAATGTTTTGTTAATTTATGATTTTTTATCCATAAAATAATTAATTTTTAAAAAAATATTATTTTTAGGTTTTTATTGATATTTTTAAATTTATTGGACTTACAAATTTGTTTTTTTATAAGAATACATAATTATTCATGAAAATTTGATACGTGGAATTGTATAATAAAATTTTTATATATTTTTATCTTGTTCGGTGTATTCTGAATTTTCTTTTTAGTTTGATGTATGTGATGCAAATTAAAATTACAACCAAATCAAACACGCATGCACCTGCCAACAACTCAGACAAGTTTCAAATGAACAACCATTATTTTTTATACTAACCTAAACACACAGTTTCACTTTAAACTCCCTAAAAGTTTTCATTTTGGTCCATAAAATGTTAATTTATATTCAAAATTTTATAATATAATTATAATTCGAACACAAAAAATAATTCCTTAAATTCATTGTCTCACGTAAAGTATAAATATGAAAATTATTATTTTTAATCCCTATAGTTTCATTTCCTAATAATTTGGTCCCAAACTTACAAAAAAATCGAGCATTTATCGATAACTATCACGTTTTTATTAAAATCATTCTCAACTATTAACGAGTTTGTTAAATGCAATAGTATTCATCTTATTTTTCATATAAATACTTTTCTATGATCAATATTTTCCTAATTTTTTCTTATTTGCATTATACTCGTAATTTTACTAAAAATAATTCAAATTTTACCATCATAATTATTTATATTTATTTTTTTATTAATCTATAGTGGGCATAATGTGGTATATGTATAAAAATAAATCTCAATTGTTTGACATTGAGTTTGATTGATACTTATTTATATTTATTCTCAAAATTTTACATAAAAAAAAGAAGGAAAAAAATATTAATTAAACATCAGTGCAAGTGGTCTCAAAATCTGGTAGGGTAGACACAACAGTGTTTAATTAATAACTTTCGTCTATAAATACTCATTTCGATCTACCATTTCAGAATCTCAAAAACTCCATTTCTGAACAACAACGACAAGTGGTTCTACCCATCCCCCATCTTCCTCTTCTTTCTTATCATATAAAATATTCTGCTTTCAAGATTTACGCTTAATGGCCCATTCTACATTTGTTGCTGCTATCTGTGTTCTCATTCTTTCACATCCATTTATATCAGGTAAGTACTCATTGCCATACACTGAAATAACAGGATTTGATATTTCAAGTTTTGATTTTCTCAAAAGTTATTTTCAATGTATTCATTGTAACAGGAGTGAAAGCAACGACCTTCACCATAGAAAACAGATGCGATTACGTGGTGTGGCCTGGGATTCTCTCAAACGCAGGTGTTCAAGCGCTTCCCGAAACTGGTTTCATTCTCCAAAGCGGAGAAACCAAGACCATTTCCGCACCCACATCATGGGGTGGTCGCTTTTGGGGTAGAACCCATTGCTCCCAGGATTCCACCGGAAAATTCTCCTGTCTCTCCGGTGATTGCGGTTCCGGGAAGGTAGAATGTTCTGGGAACGGCGCTGCTCCGCCTGCAACTTTGGCTGAATTCACTTTGGACGGTGCCGGTGGTCTTGATTTTTTCGACGTGAGTTTGGTCGACGGTTACAACGTCCCCATGTTGGTGGCTCCGCAGGGTGGTACGGGCCAAAATTGTACCAACACCGGCTGCGTCGTTGACCTTAATGGCTCGTGCCCTTCGGAGCTGAAGGTAATGAGCACAGACGGCAGAGATGGGCTTGCTTGCAAGAGTGCCTGCGAGGCATTCGGCGACCCTCAGTACTGTTGCAGCGGCGCGTACGGTACACCCGATACTTGCAAGCCATCTTCGTACTCGGAGGTGTTCAAGACAGCTTGCCCACGCGCCTACAGCTATGCCTATGATGACAAAACCAGCACCTTCACATGTGCCAACGCTGATTATACAATTACCTTCTGCCCTTCGCCCAACACTAGGTAAATTTACTTTTCCAGCCTTATCGACTTCTGCTTTTGCACAAAAAAAAAACATTAAAGGATACTTTTGTCATAAAAAGAAAACGAAACTAATTAGCAATCATATGTGGGCCGCGGCACATTATGCCATCTAACCGTTGAGACGACAGTCATTGTTCAATCAATCATTGATGCAAATTGAGACTAATGGTTTTTTCTCTCACGCTCATCTAAGTATTGTCGATAACGGGCGGTTGGGGGAAATCCAAAGTACAATAAAAAATACAATAAAACAAATTCTTACAAATCCCTATAAAAGACGTCATGTTTTCTTATCGAACGTATTCGACTGTTACGTTGCCCTATGTGGATTTTTTTTAACGTTTAGTTTTTGGTACGTAAATTTTGCAGCCAGAAATCATCACAAGGGCAGCAGCACCAGCAGAACACGGAAACGACAACGAGTACGACTACGATTATCAATGGCACGATGGTGTACGAAGGTGCGTTGGACGAGAGTGAGGCATCATCACTGTCCACGTGCACCCACGTGATGGGCATGACAATGGCAATTTGGTGGTCATGGCTACTCTTCTAACTTGTTCAACATATAGTATAGGTGTTGATGAAAGAGCTCAGTTGAATTGCACTTCTCCTCGCCGTTTGTCCTGACACCACATAAAGGGCCGAATGCAAGACGGAGGTTGCTCCATGGTAGTAGTTAGTTTTAGGAATTTTTTATATTATTCAAAAGGTTTTATTAGGTTTATATATATTTAATTGGAGGGGATGGGATTCATTTAATCGTTTTGTTTCCAGGAAATTATAATTAATGTTACGCTATTATGTCTATATATGATTGAAATAAATTATTTTTATTACCAGTTTGTGTCCAAGGAAAATAATGTAAATTAAATGAGAGGATATATATCGTATAAATTGCTATTAAAGGAGTGCATAGTGGTGCTCTTTAATTAAGCCGTGGATATTTTTTTTAACTTATGTCGGTATAGGGTACTGGTACTAATTTTATTGTATATACTGCTATTGTAATATATGGACGAGACAATTTGCCGTAACTGGGTTTCTATTGCTTAATGGGAAGAATTTCGGTGGTCTGGAAAGGGTGGGTAGAATCGAGGGGTGTTGGTTCTAAGTCTAAAGAAAAAGTTGAAACTTCCACTAAAATATTAAAAACCGGAGGAACCAATTTTGGTCCACACTTCTCAAATTTTATTCAATAATTTTTATGTTTTAAGCTATCAAAATTCAACATGTTTTTTTTTAAAAATCAATTCAAATTCAATAAAAAAACAATAATTAATATTAATTAAAACGTCTAATATTCAATGTTAATTTAAATTGAATGATAATTTGATTAAGACCAAATTGATATTATGGGTTGATTAAGAGTTTATTTTTTTCTTTCCAAGCAATTAAATCATATGTATGCTGTATCCCAATTCGACGACTTGTGCTTGAGTAGGTTGAGGCAAATTCCTACCTAATATACTAATATAGCATATATTATTTGACTTTTAGGGATAAATTACATATACAGTCACTTGATTTATTTGTAAACTTGTGTTTTGACCAGTAAACTAAAAGGATTATTTTTTTTATCAATTGGTTAATCAAATTTGATCAGAGCCATCTTGAACATTTTTGAGGCCCTGAGCAAAAATAAAAATAGGCCCTGATTCAAGGAAAATATATTACATTACTTTAAACAATTAATTTAATATCGTAGAAAAAATATTAAACTTTTTCAAACATTAATTTCATTGTTTTGTTAAGAAAACACCTTAAATACGACTAAGAGAATAAAAAATTGAATGTGGGTATAAATTATGATATGGATTTTATTCTATAAATTTAAAAAAATAAAGAATAACATATTATGTTATCGTTATATTGAGATTAGAGATGACTAAGAGTTAAAGAATATTTGGTAAATTGTAAAACAAGATTTGTAAAAAAAAGAGAGACAAATATGATTAGATTTTATTCAAAATTAACTGAAATAACGAGAGAAATGGAGAAATGGATGAGAAATTGACAATTTTATGAAATTATAAAAAATTAGAGGCCTTAATTATAAAGGTAGAAATCGAGATCGAAAAAATAGGAGCCATAATTATTAAGGTATAATTGAGAGAAAAAAAACTTAGGGGCCTCAATTATAAAGTTGAAAAAGTGGGATTAAAAAATTAGGGGCCTCAACGATAAAGGTAGAAATTGAGATCGAAAAAACTTAGGGGCCCCAATTGAAAAGGTAGAAAGTGAGATTGAAAAAAACTTAAAAGCCTCGATTATAAAGTTAAAAGTGGGATTACAAAATTAGGGGCCTCAATTATAAAGGTAAAAAAAGGATTGAAAAGCTTTGAGACTTCAATTATAAAGATAAAAGTGAGATTGAATAATATTAGAACATCAATTATAAAGGTAAAAAAAATAAGAATTAGAAAATTAAGGGCCTAATTATAAAGATAAAAAAATGGATTGCTAAGGACGCTCCCTCTAATAGTCGAGGTGCCCGGGGGTCTGAATTTGATGGTTTCATTTACTGCATTGTTACCTATTAACGACAATATAGGCATGGTCATCTAACGATTCAATAATAACAAATTTAGTCTTTAATATTGATATATTAGTTTGATCCATAATTATAATAAAAATAGTTCAATATTTCATATTTTGTTAATTACACGATTAGCGGAGGAATGGAAGGACTATAAAAACAATTAGCCAAGAAAGAAACAATACCAATGAAAAAAAAGAAAGAAAGAAAAGAGTAACATTGAAGCTGATTTTTTTTATGCAAGATTTAACTTAAAAATATTAAGAGTTTTTTTCAATAATTATAAATCGAGTTATTTTAGTTTAATTAGATAAAAAAAGTAGCTGACCCTATTCCCATATGTAATGGGGTGAGAGGGAGGTAAGGTAGTAGGCTACCCCCAACAGGTTGAGAGCAGCTTCCGTGGAAGACCTCCGACAGTCAGAATTATGAATTGTTCACCGTGGGACTCGATCCCACGACCACAAGTTTAAGAGCCTTGCGCTCTACCAACTGAGCTGGACGGACAATTCATTATTAGATCAAATTAATTAAATACGTAAATATTAAAAGATAAATACATTATTATGTTAATTATTAAACAGTTTTGTCATCCTTCCATTTCAACTATGTTGTGGCACGAACCAAACAACTTCGGTGATTAAAGAGATGATTGTTATTCTTAAAGGTTCTGGTTCGAATACCAATAACCGTCAAAGTATTTGAGCATTCATTCTCAAATGATTAAAAATCATAACAAATATTATCATTTGTAATCACCCATTAATTAAAAAAATTACTATATTATGATTGAAATAATCAAACTCGATTAATCAAGGGATGAAAGACGTAAACTTCCGGTTGTGTGTGTAATACAAATCAACAAGCAACCCGGTTTTAATTAGACCAAAATATAATATTAAATGGACAGGTAATTTCATTGCTTATTAGTTGCAAATGTCATAAGTTCGATCACCAACGGTTGTAATAGGGTGATTGAGTGTTTATTGTCAAATAGTAATTTATAATATATATTACTTTATAATCACCTTAACTTAATAAAAAAAATTCTAAGCCGCCAACGCCATTTCAAGACCAAAGTAGTCAACTGAATATGAATAATTCACTGACTTTCAACCCACAAATTGGTAGTCAAAGGGAACCAAATGTTTTTGCTTTAAGATTCGAGAAAATAATGAATCCACTCAAGGTTCTGATGTGTACTAAATGGATAAGGCTGCTTTAGAGTGGTAAAACCACTGTTTCTGATAATATATACTTTGTTTATTAAAGTTTGAAGGAAAAGATTCGCCTTTTTTTGACTAAGCAAGGAAGCATATACTGTTTGAGACAACTACGTTGAATTTTTAGTGGCATCGCTTTGCTTAAGTTCAACTTATTAAGCATAGGATAGTAACCAAATATACATATATGTTTGTGTAATATTATTTCAATTTTCAATATATAGAATAACAACCCCTAAACAATAAAATTAATCCCATAACTATAAAAAAACATCCAAATTGAACCCTCCCGAGTGTTGTCTCTAAACCAAGTGTTCATGTATGTATATAAACATTCTCCATTTTATGTGAGTTGTGTTACGTTTCATATTTTCTTGAAATCGGTATGTGCTCACACTAAAATTTGATTTTTTCCGGTTAATTACATATTTAATTAACGGTGCCTACCTTTAGTGCCCACACCATTTAAAAATTTTGTATTGTAAACATATTTATATTTGTGCTAAAATATTTTTAGATTTGTCATTGTTATGAACTATTATTAGATGATCACAAGAAGTGGAAATAAAGTTAAACATATAACAACTATATATTTCTATAAAGTTAGTTACATAAGAGAATGAACAAAATAAAAGAAGCATAAGAATTTTCCTTACTACTTTAAGCCTTTAGACACTTAATCTGTCGAGGCATCTAGTCAGATTCTTCTATATAGAGTGAAGGAAGGCCATGCATCTAAATAAGGATTTTTGACATAAAGAGCTTTTCAACGTCTTACAAGTGAAATTGGGTGAGCAATGATCAAATCAAAATCAGAGAAAATCTCGGTCTCTTTTTTATTTTTCATTGATAATATACACATGCATCCACGTCATATTGCTTACATCTTTTCCCTAATGTCTTTAACTACTCGGGCTTTTCCTAAAAGAAACCTTTATTGAACTTAAAAAGACAAACTCGGATACTGTTCATGGAATAATATGGCGTCCAATGTATTTGATTGAGCAGTTAATAAAGACTTTCCAGACAGATAAAAGCTATAGGAAGGAAAAAGATTATACAAAATTATCCAAATGAGTGGATGGATAAACATGTCAAATGGCAGTGTCTCACATGTTGACTACTAGTAGTAGTAGTAGAATATTTCTACTTTCCACGTTTGGATTATAGTGATCAGCCTCACACACTTGACTGCAGATGTAAAGACGGTAAAAAGGGAAATGGTTTTGAGGATGTTTCCCGGCAAGCCACAAAGCATGCAGCGGCGGTACTTGAGACGCGGGAATGAATCGAAGTAATGCCAGCAATTTATGATCGTATCAATCAAGTGGCTTCCTCCGACAACACCTACTCCTTGACGTGGATCGCCATCTCTTTTGCTATAATTGCAATTGTTAACCCAAAAGCAAATAAAATTAAAGTACAAAAATAGTCCATCGACTATAAGGGGCTACTCTGTTGAGTACTCGACTATTAGAAGTTACAAAATGATCTTTTAACTATAGGATGTTGCATTGTTGAGTCCAAGAACGAACTTCTAAAATTTTAATAATGAACAAATTTATAAAATTTCAAAGGGACGAAACATATTTTCAATAAAAAATACATTGAAAAAATATAAAATATATAGCAATTTGAAATTTTTAGGGGGTGGATGCCCCCACCCACTCCCTTGATCCTGGTTGAGTCTCTCAACTATTAAAAGTTATAAAATGGTCACCCGAGTATTTATATATTCCAAATTCATCCTTTATTGTTAAAATAATTGACCGTCTTCTAAGCTAAACGTTCATATGTTGACTGAGGTATGATAGTCATTTGAGATCCCGTGATCGGATTTTAACAGATCTCATTCAACATGTTGATGTCCAACTCAGATTGTCATAATTGTTTTAAAGAAAAAGGACGAGTTTGGAGCATATGAATAGTAGAGCGATCATTTTATAAATTTTAATAGCCATGAGACTCAACAAAACAACACCCTATAATCGGAGGATTATTTTAGAACATTTAATAGTTGGAGGACTATTTTATAATTTTTAATAGATTGCGGATTCAACAAAGTA